ACTTTTAATTACAAAAAAAAAACTAGTAATTTAGAAATATGCAAAAAATAATCATAAATCAAATAACAAAATATAAAAGTTAATATATAAGTTGGACGGCCCATGTCCAAATGGTTTTGTCTTTTGTCCAGATGGGCCAAGACCATATTTATCCGCAGACCATATGGGTTGGACCATATATAGCCCATAAAAAAATTGTCCACTCGGGCAGGCCCAATTGGTCGCGGGCAAGCCCAATTGACAGCTCTATATAATCCTCTATATATATTAGTTTTGAATGTCTTATAATCTTATACATATTAATGGAAGAGACACTAAGTGAAAACAAATTATGCATCAATCAGTGAAATTTGTAAGAGACACATCAATTTAATGAACCAATCAAAACATTCCAATTAATTCTATATGCTATGTTAGAAATCTCTACATATTTACATTAATTTTTAACATCAATTCGCAAATACATATGTTACAAATTTATATACAACTATAATATAATTTTTCATATATATTTTAAACGTTATATAACTCAATGTTTTAACGATAAATTATTTACCGATATCAATTTACTTTATAAAAATTATTTTGTGTCCATTTGAATACCATATGTGATTGAACATATAATTTTTTTTCTTTTATTGTATTTATATTACTCTAATTAAAATTTTATTTTGTTATAAACATATAACTTTACAAATCAAACATTAGTATCCTTTTTTCGAAAATAATATTTTTCACTTTTTATTATTTCTATGATTTTGAATTGAACTTTACATACTCACGTGATATTTTGTGGGTTTGGTGAGATCAAAAAAGTTTGAGAGAACCCATAATCTCAAACGCATTCGAATTACATTAAAAAGGCTTACATTCAATTTAAGTGTCATGCAGATTAAATTTTGTAAGATAAAATAGATTTTTCTAGATGAGAGATATCATTTAATTTTTGTTACTTCTAGTTTCTCCAGTATACTATAAAAAATAAAATATATTATTTTTAAATATCTTAATCACGCGTTTGACGCGAGTCAAAAACCTAGTCTGGCTTAAAAGAAATGACGAACAATCAAAAATTAAGCTTTATTCATTGTTGCTTTAATTAGAGTGGTTTTGTTGAACAATGACACCAAACTGAACCGATTTTATCACTTTCTTAAGATGATGAATCAAATTCTATTGATTCAACTATTATTGCCACTGCGGATGATCTATTTCGCTACCTACAATCTCGGTTCTTGATAATATGTCTGTGTCTCATGCAATAATCACCATCAGTGAAACTATTGAGTCTTCTGATTTAGAGTTTGCCTAAATTTTATCAGTCATTTTATTATACTCTATTATCCAAGAAGAAAGTAGTAGAATAGTTTACCTCGATTTTGGTTGTAACAAGTTTGCCTCATTAATATCTCTGGAAGAAGATTCATCGGATTCTAATACAGATTTGATGGAGCTTGTATATGACATCTACATATGGACGTGGCTAAAGGTTTTCATCCTAAGCAATAAAGTCAATCGAAATAGACGATCCGATTGTTTCCGGTTCATAATATGTTCCTCTTATTTTTCATCTACTAACAATTGATTTTAAAAATTGTATGACTAAGAACATGGTCTGTAAATACCAAATATTAGCATAACATTATTGTACTTTCGTTTAGCGATACTAGTTGACTAGTAATTGTATTACTCTTGTGTCTCCTAGCTTCTGTTTAGTTTTCGTTATATAGAAAAAGGCTTTACTATATTTTGCGGTTATAAACTCAAAGAGTCCACAAAACTGAATTGGGCTCAATAGAATGTATTAAACGTTATCCGACACAGATTCCTTCGTTTCTCCCGGGCACAAAACTGAATTTGGCTTCTATGAAAATTCAGTTCATGTCGGGTCATATGTCCCGGCCTAACTAAAACTCGGGAACTATCATTATCGGAAACAAATTTCAGAGTTTTTTTTTTGGCCTGAGTTTAAATCAAACATTTTTAAAACAAATAACACATGAGAAATGGTGCATAATAAGAGAGAGACAATAGAGAAATGTGTTAGAGCTAAAGCCCAAGATAATGCAACCAAAGC